GAAGAAAATTGCCGACCCGAAGGTATACTGTAACCTTAAAACGATAATAATACGTCGCTTTGGAATATGTAGCTGAGACAGAAGATCATCTTATGTTGCGCGTGATGAGCGATTTAAGTAAAACCAAAAAACGAAAACGACGAAGAATGAGTAAAATTCGCTTTTCCTTCTGTAATCGCTCTATCAGTTCTAAATGTTTGGGCGCCTCCGAAAAGAAAAAAAAACCATTGGCGACCTATGCCTTTGTTGTCCAGCGTCTTATACCTAGTTTACCCAAGCTGTCTCGCCGCCAACCCACCCTTTTTAACTGAGGTGTCGATAGAAAGAAGATTGATGAATGAATTGAAAGTTCTTTTCTTTCCTTTCAGCAATTATTCCAGAGCATAAAAACGTGACTTGTCATGTGTACAACATGACAGTGACAGTGAAAGAACACTCACGAAAAGCCATTAAAATCCACACGACTTCTCAGACTCCACGTGACACAGAGATCATACTGCGTATCGCTAGCCCACCCCGGGTGGGGAGAATATTACGTGATGGCAAGATGAGCTATGAGTTTAGTGTCCAGGACTTGGAAGCAGGGTTGATCGTTTACGAGCACATCGGTAGGGAGACTGGACTCCATGGAGACATGGATCGTTTTAATATGACGCTTTTAAATGACACGGAGACCTGGATTCGAGAAGGCAGGAGATATGAAGGTATCTGAAGGTATCACTGTTCTGAACATTTCTCCTGTAGGCTGAAGCCCCGTGTAACTAATTCACTTTAGAACTCACTCTTTTCGATGGAGATCATACTACATGTAATATGCACACGTATCAAAAATAATTGGGATCTAATAGTATGCGTGCAAGTTTAGCGAGCTCGGTAGATTCCAGGTACGGTGAATGAATAAAGGAGCTACGTCACGGTTTGTGCATCTTGAAAAGTTAAACCTAAATTTTCAAGTTCGTCGTTTGTAATCTGCGTCCATCTTCTCCATCTTTGACTATCCTTGTTCCTTTTATGGTTTATTATTATCTCTGTAGAGTTTTTCTATCTTAGCAAACTACTATTTCCAGGTTTCCTTCAATTTAAAGGTAATTTTGTGCGTGGTCGAAATAACTCAAACAACCGTGGCTGAGCTCCTTTCAAATTCTCGGCTTTTTTTTCTTTGTGAAAACGAAAGACACTCCTGATTCTGTATTTTCGTCCAAATACTGCTGTTTTACTTTAATCTGAGAGGACAAGAGCACAGTATTCAAGGTGTATAACTACTGTTCCACTTTGCCTCTATATTTGTAGCTGTTGATGTGGTTACAATGATCCTACCGGTGGACAGCCAGCCACCCATGGTGAGCAGAATCAAACAGCTTGTGGTACTGGAGGGCGGCAAGACTAAGCTCACGTCACGCCAGTTAACAATCACTGATCCCGACACGCGTGACAGTGACGTAACATGCAGCGTCGACGTCCAACCAACAGTGGGGTTCCTGGAAAATGTCACGCCATCTTCAGGATCAGAGATAAGTAACGCTGGAAAACGCGTTACTTCTTTCACTATTGACGATATCCGAGCTGGAAGGATTAGCTATGTGCAGGACGTGTATGAGGGAAGCGAGCCGACCATGGACTGGGTGGCTTTTTCTTGTTCAGATGGCAATAACACTTCACCGAGATACTTGCTCAATATTGATATTATCCCGCAAAATGACGAGAAGCCTCAGATTTTTACGCGCGATTTCTATGTGGACGAGGGAGATGAGAAGTTTATAGACGTGACTGTTCTGAACGCAGTCGACAATGACGAGCCTCTTGACGAGTTAATGTTCTTCGTCGTCACGCCACCTCGTCACGGAATGATTACAGACAGGCGGAAGGGTGCCACGAAACCAGTACCCAGGTTCTCTCTGACGCAAATCAAGAAGTCGACCTCAATCGTGTATGAGCATGACGGAAGTGAAAGTACAAGTGACTCTTTCACCCTGAGCGTGTCAGATGGTAAATTTAACACAACTCGTTCAATCCCCGTAATTATAACTCCTGTCGATGACGAAGAACCTACGTTGTATGTGAATACAGGCTTGCGCATCGCGTCTATTGGCGAAAGCAAGACTATCACGCCGAACAATCTCAAAGCCCAGGATGTGGATTCCCCGGATGAGGACATTATGTTTGTAGTGCGCAGTCCTCCACGGGCAGGGTTTCTCAGGCGGATAAATGTTAATGGCTCCGTTCAAATCTTGGCACAATGGCAAAGATTTACTCAAAGGGACATTGATGAAAGACGCATAGTTTACTCACAAGATGCCAACATCCCCAGCGAGAGAGATATGATCAAATTCGACTTGTCTGATGGGAAAAACACACGATTAAATCAAGACTTTTTTGTGGAAGTTAGCGCCGGGGACAGGATTCATCCTACAGTAATAAACAAGGGTGTGCGATTAGCCCAGGACTCCCGTATCATTATCTCAACAAATTTCTTGAGCGCCAGCGATGCTGGAAGTGCCAATGAGAAGCTGCGGTATTTCTTAGTTAAGCAGCCGCAAAAGGGACGTCTGGAGCACTTGGATTTTCCGGGAGTGCGGCTTGATTCATTCACTCAACTTGATTTGGCGGGAAACAAAATTGTCTATATTCACACGAGCAGGGACGAAGCTACAGCGGACAGTTTTGACTTTGAGGTCTCAGATGGAACGAATGGTGTGGTCAGGACATTTTTGGTGACACTCATTAACATAGATAACAAAAAACCTGTGTTAATTTACAAGAAACTCGTGGTAAATGAAGGCGAGAACGTGTTAATTACACCTTTTGAGCTTCGCGCGGAAGATCAGGACACCCAACCTGGGAATCTTGTGTACACAGTCACGCGTGTTCCTCTGCATGGTTGGTTACTAAACAGCGGGACGCCCTCGCGTGTGTTCACGCAAGAGGACATAAACCTCAATCGTATCTCTTACGCTCACGATGGCACGGACGTGGACAAGGACAGTTTCCAGGTCAAAGTCAGCGATGGAATGGATAACGAATTTTACGTGTTTCCGGATACTGAGAGCCTCGTTCGCGAGCCACGTGAGATCCACGTGGTTGTTGTACCCGTGGACAACAGAATTCCACAGTTGGTTCTTAACCAAGGAGCCACTAATCTTGAAACTTTACCCTGCAATAGAATTGGGCTTGTAATAAGAAGCTCTGCGTTAAGAGTGGAAGACCTGGATAGCAATAATTCTGAGTTACTTTATACTGTCACTTATCCACCTGTCAACGGAATGCTTGTAATACAAGGGAGATATAGCAGTAACAAAAGCGTGTCGAACTTTACTCAATCTGACATTGACGCAGGGAATATCTCGTATGTCCTTCACAACGGACACAATGCCACAAATGACGCTTTTGATTTTGATGTTTCCGACCCTGCTGGAAACACGCTCCGCTTTCAACGGTTCTCTTTAACTTGGGCCTGGGTTTCGTTTGAGCGTCAAGACTACCATCTGAGCGAAACAGACGGCGTCGCGCGTTTTGTTATTGTTAGGAGAGGCTTCCTGGGAGACCCTTCTTCCGTGCGCATGAACGTTGAGGGTCTTACCGCTACCCAAGGCCAGGATTTCTTGCTGGCGGGCCCTGCGCATGTGCAGTTTAGTCCCGGACAGAGTAGGGCAGAGTGGAAGTTACACGTGCAAGATGACGGCAATTACGAAGGCAATGAAACTTTACAGGTGGAATTAACAAGTCCTCAGATGTGTGTCATCAGGCCGCCTAGGAAAGCTCACGTGACCATATCAGATCCAGAAGATGGTATGCATTATTTAAAATAATTAATATCGGCTATGTATATCATAAGGAAAAAGCGTGTCCATATAATTATAACAGATTGTTCATGAATTAAACGTGTTATAAATTTGCTTGGAAAAATGGTGGGTTTCAGCAATCAAGGACCAAAAATACACAGTGCATATTAACGAGATATTTAAAACTGGATGCTTTGATCACAAGTTGCATTAATTAAGAACCAACGTTAACTTGGTTGAGTTTCTTCTCGCCTTTTCTAAAATCTTCAAGTGCTCTTTGAGAAAAAAAACCAGCTGAGCCGTGCAAGTTTTAAATTTTCGCCGTAACAGTCGTCCTGACTAGTTCACTCTTTTTATGTTTGTTTTTTTTTTTTTTTTGTAATCATTACTTTCAGTTCCAACAGTGGAAATTGTGCGCAGTCACCTTGTTGTAGAGGAAGACATTGGAGCAATAAAAATTCCTTTGAGACGAACTGGAGATAGCAGCCAGCGATTGTATGTCAGTTGCGTGACCACCTCTCATGCCGAGGAGGAAGGTATGACCGGAAGTGAACAGTAATTTAATTTGATCGCCATCACTCCAAGTTTCCGCGCTACCTCTTCCCTACCCAAGGACAGTTTTGTGAACACTTTCACTTGGCTAACTTGGCAGTCAAAAAGGTGGAGTGTTTGCTGCTAACGCTCCATTTTTTTCTTTTATTTGTCACGCAACGCTTTATGGACCAAAACGTTACGTGACTAAAAGAATCGCGTGATGCTAAAGAGAATCACGATGGTTGAAACTTGAAAAACTTGACCCAACTAAATTTTAATCTCGTCCTTCATAATCTTTGCCCTCTTTGATGTTACCCTTCTTCAATTTAAAAGTAATTTTGTACATCAAAAAAGTCATAGCTCCCAGTATGTTCATTGTGAATACTGTCGTAAATCTTAATTTAATCAACTCATAACAAAGCAAATCACTGCGAACAATCCCACAATAACCAATGAGAATTTGAATCCGAAAACTTTGTAGCCGCGGCAAACGGGGGAAAGTTCGCGCATGTGTGGCATGCATGGTTACTGTTTTAATCCCTGAATCCCTGATCATAAAAGAAAAAACATATTTACTTTGTATAATTAGAATACCAATGTAATAGTGTTCTAGAGTAATAAAACCGAACTATTGACTGTTATCCAGAGCTTAACTTGGTGTTGCTGTGTTCCAGGTTGGGCCACAGGTACCCTTCCCACTTCAATATTGTCATATTCAGACTTCATCTTAAGGCCTGCTAACAAAGACAGCATGATCACATTTGAAAAGGTTAGCTCTCAAGTGCACTTCGTTCAAAATCTTTGTAAATTTTTTTTAATTCAGTTAATTGGTTTTATTTAGATTGTATTAGTTTTATTTAGATTTTTTATTTCGTATTTTTTAAATATCCCATTGTACTATTTCTATTCAGATTTTTACAGTTGGTGTGATATCTCACGATTTTTACTGACTTAACTAAGTGTAGATGTAGATGAATTGATCTGGAGACCGCGTGGTCGAGTGGTAATTATAAGGATGCTAGAATCGAAGGTTCAAGTCCCATTTCACCGGACCTAGGCCAGCTATTAAATAGTCAACTGGTGTAGTCTTTAACTCCGGTCAGTCGGGACTTTCAATGTTGTTACCTTGGCATATTTGTTTGTATTTGATCGTTAGAATGCCCATTACCCCTTCAGGGTGAACAATATTGTTATTTTTCTTACTCTAACCCTTGGAACTTTCGTTTACCAACACTACCCCAGATGGGGTGATAGGCATTCACGAGGCAGCGATTGACAAATGAAAGACAGAGAGGTTTTCTGAAGGATTTTGTTGCTTCGCCTTTTACAAGACGAACCGAAAACCTGCCCTTAACCTTGTGTGACTTCAGATTTTTTTTTTACTGACTTTCTTCCTTTGTTTCTCAAGGAAGAGACAACCAAAGAATGCCCAGTTATCATTATTGATGACTCTCTCTACGAGAACGAAGAGAAGTTTTATGTAACACTGATTTCGCATCTTGGCAGCAGAATAAACAGTGAAAGAAACTCCAGTGTTGTTGTCATAGCACCGGATGCAAAGGATGGTAAGATCACACATTACAATAATAGATTATAAAGTGTTTTTAGCCAGGCGTCGGGGCGCCCGAATGCATTTCCTGGTGCAGGAAGATGATTTCAACTTAATGCATTGCTTTCCTCCCACGCCAATTCTGTTTCATGTGATTGTCTGAAATCCGGCGCACAAATATTTCTTTAAGAGCCCAATGCTGTCACATGTGGCTCAAAATAAAGAAAATTTACCCACGGACATAATAGTAAAGGAGGTAAACATCAAACAAGTTTAGAAACAACAGCGCCTTAGTTGAAGTCTCCCTCCTATTCCGCGCCGCGTTCGACGAGGTTGGGCGTATTCAGAGGCGCATGTCTTAACAGGCTAAAGACACGCATATGCGTACAAATAAAGGCGATTACCTTGTGGTTTAAGGTATTGAACGCCTCTGTCCCATGTCTATCTGGAAAGGTGATATTCAAATCAGCTTTATCATAAAAAAAAACCAACTCTGTAAGCCGACTGCATACAGTGCTTTTGGAGAAGTGACCTTTCGTTCTAATGGCGTTCGTCTAATCGCCTTATAGAGTTTGTTTAACCAAATTTTCTTATTCAAATATTTTTCTAACGTCATCTTTTGCGAGAGAACTATAGATTTTGCATGATACACTGATAGGGTTTTTGTGAGAAGCTTTGCCATTAAAATGATTTGTTATTGTTTACCCAGAGCCAAAGATATTCTTCAATAGCCCATATTACTCTGTGGATGAGAGTATCGGTAAGCTTGGTGTCACTCTGAAGAGGACCGGAACCGATCTTTCCAAACCGTCGTCTGTGTTCGTGAGATCGAGGCAGACTGATCCGATATCCGCACGAGGTTAGTAAACACTGACACATTCCCGAGTCCTCTCCCTACCTTAAAAAGGTAAGGTGGTAAAATGAAGAACTAACAAAACAAAACAAAACAAAAAGCAAAGGAACAACTGTTGTTGTTTTAATCTATCGTCGTGTTTTTATTCCACGATTTTAAAATCTGAACAAGCAGCTCACCAAACGAATCCTCGTAGAGGCTGATTAATAGGCAACTCAAACAGTTGTTAGCGAAACCTGAAAAACAAAAGTGCGGACGACTTAGGCAATACAAATTGTCGAGTTTCGTTCAGTTTCAAATGTTATTGCAGTGTTATCTCTTTACCCCAGGCTTCTCTCTTCTTTGCAAGTGAGAACAAAGTACTCTTGGGCCTGGAAATGTATTCCAATGACGTCATGAATTTTCCGCCGAAACGAATGAACTGGAAAAGACCTTCTGAGTCCCAGGCCTCTTGTAATTTATGCAATAATTATCATAGCCTGAATATTAGGCTTTTCTTACTGGCGGGGTAGGATGAGGAAACACCCGCCTTACCCTCTTGCTAAGAAAGGCCTAATACACAGGTTATAATTATCATGATTGACGCCTTTATTTTGCAGCCAGTGAAGACTATATCCCCCTCATTCAAATGGTTTACTTTCCACCTTTCTCCGAGCATCAGACAATGCAAGTAACCATCCGTGACGACCAAGGTCTCCCCAGGGTAGAGGGGACGGAGAAATTTGAACTCGTACTTAGGACTCCCATCAACACGGGGATTGGAGAGACAAGCAAAGCTGTCATTGCTATCGGCGACTTAGTGTCTGATTGTGAGTTTTGTTTGATACTGTTCGCTATAAGTTTAGAGAATAAGAACTGTAGGTTAGAGAATTAAAAATCCATAGAGACAGCCTATAAAAATGGGGCTGGTTTCTTTCGATCCAATCATGGAAGAATGCGCGCCAAAGCCCAAAAGGACAAGATTTGTTGCTTAACAACGCCGCTGACTAAGAATGAGCCAACTCGAATTTCTGCCCACTCACATTTTACCCCTTTCTCTATTCTCTTCTGTCGTATTTCTTCTTAGAGAAAAAAAACGAATGTAATACAGTAACTTTATCTTTTTAGATCGATGCTAGTAAGCACTTCTTTTTAACAAGCCTACCTTCTTTATCCATATTTTACCTAGCGCCCATGATACAATTCGACAAGATATCTTATTCCACCAATGAGGAAACCGGTACCCTTAATGTTGTACTCATGCGCACTGGGGACTTGAGATCTACGTCATCAGTTCGTTGCTACACGCGCTACATGACAGCGGAGGTGGAGCGAGACTTCAAAGAGCGTGCCGACACAGACGGCTCGCTGATTGTGTTTAACTCCGGAGAGAACCGGAAGTTCTGTCCTGTGGCAATCATCGACGATGTCGTGTTCGAGGGCAGAGAGAAGTTCCGGTTAAAATTGGGAAGCGTGGACAAGGATAGTCGGATAGGGGAGAGGAACGCTACAGTGATAACCATCGTGGATTTGGAAGATCGTGAGTACTATTAAAACAATTCTTGTTTTAATTAAATTAAATGCAATGCTGAAAGATCAGCACATAGGCTGGCTTGTAACACTATCCTTTCACTGGGCCAAGACTCAGAGGGATTTCCAAAAAAACTGTTTACGCTACCTAACGAATGAGGTAATAATGTCATTTACCTTATTTACCCAGAACCTATTATTGAGTTTACGAAGGAGCGAATATTTGTAGTGGGCCCGGCTGTGGCAGGTGCCAGTAGAGAGGCACTCATTACAGTGAAGAAGACCGGAGACCCTACCACGAGATCAAAAGTCAGGGTGTACACGCTGGACGGATCAGCAAAGGCTGGCAAAGGTTATCAGCCTGTTACTGAGGTAAATATAACATTTTTCGATTAACCCTAAGACCAATCACGAAACTTCGGATTGCAGTCTCAAGCTGACATGGCAAATTGTCGTGGTAACATAACCACTGCTCTTTTCTCCTATCTCCAGATTTTAGATTTTTCGGGAAACAAATCAAGTCACGTGGTACCAATCAAAATACTGTTTGATGCACACCGGAAGATTCGACGTGCGTTCACAGTCCACTTGAGCTCGGACATAACTGGCGAGAGCGGCCTAGGACTTAGGAAAGTAATCGTCTACATCGAGCAACCGTCTACGAATCCTGCAGTAACGTTTCCGCTGTCACCAAAAGTTGTCTCACTGCGCGACTATGATGACGTCAGTGGGGCGGGATCAGAAATTATTATGGGTTATCCGCTCATATGTGTTACGGTAAGGGATCGACGTAGGATGAAATATTAATCTTAACAATCATTGTCTACGTGATATATCAAACACGAAAGACTGTGTTTGACCACGGTTTTAAGCACCGAGAAGAGAGTTGAAAATATGACGCACAGCGAAGTATTTTTGACGAAATTCGAGGTGTTTGGAAATGTGGTCAAACACGGTCTTGAATGTTTGATATATCTTCTCAATCGAAACTAAAACTTAGGAGAAAACGGACAAAATTGTTAAAATCTATGCCAATTTAGATCACATATGCAAACACCGTCACGGTGATGACTTCCTTTGTTTGAACTTGGGGAATTATTAGTGAGTTTGAGAAAAAAGTTTCAAAAACTTACTTTCTAAGTCCACGAAAGGCCATCGCATTATCATTGCTTATTATATGGTAGCTCCACGAGCGAGCAAGATACCCTACCCAAGTGGGATAAGGCTATCTTGCCAGTTCGGGACTGCCCGAAGTATCCAGCAGAAAATGGTGTTAAAATCCAATATAATAATCCCCCTATTGACCGAGCTAGTTTGGTTATGATGGGAGCGTATTTTGTCTCAAGGTTTTTGTGCTTGTTTATTGACTTCGACTTCGGTCCATAAATAGGCAGAAAAGGAACCTGGCAATATTAGGCCATGTAGACCTAGTGTTTGGTCAGTAACCGATATATCTCCTTTACTCCCTGCAGGCTTGCGATCCAAAGTATCCTCGCTATGCGGAAACTGGTTCTATCTGCTCCTCTCAACGAATCGACAATAGTTTGACGCAGTATCGCTGGCAAGTTGGAGACGAGCTCAGAGACCTGACTAGTGACACGTTTTTCACTAGAGCTGACCGAGTAACTCTGGATAGTGTGTACCTAGTGCCAGGCTCTAGAGTGCGATGTGTCGCGCGTGCGGTTAGTGACCGCGGTGAGCTGGGCCTTGAATCGACCAGCGCTCAAGTCAACGTGAGCTCTAAGGAGGGGCTTTGTGTGTCACGTGATCCTCATCGTGTTGGTTCCCAACAGATCGTGGCGAGTATTTCATTTACAGGAGCAACGGGTGATAAATATTCCAACAAAGTTCATATTAAATTAGTCCTTCCTCATACAGACGGACTTCTACCGCTCATATCGACCAAGAGGTTGACAAACTTCAAGCGAATTCTTCGTCCAGGCGTGCTAAGAGTAGCACAACACAAGTGCTCCAACCTCTTGAACTCGAATGAACTAATCACGAACTTCGGTTTTGTTACAAATTCAGTCAAAGACCGTAAAAGCATGAATGAAGGTGAGCCGTATCAGTTCAGCGCCGGGCTGAGGAGTAACAGTACATTGCGCTTCTATAGAAATCTCGACCTTGAGTCGTGCGTATGGACTTTCAACAGCTACTACGACTTATCAGAACTTACTCAACATTGCGGCGCTTCAGTGACGTCAAATGAACAATCACGTAATATCGCTCAATCCCAGCTTACTGTACGAGTACCTCTGTATGTGTCTTACGTGTATCGTGTACCGAAGAACAGAGGAGACTGGATCCACTATGACCACGCCATGTTTCTGCGCCTGCATCTTACCTATGACACCGCAGTTCTGTTAAATAATGGCGTGCAAACTCCCGAAGGAGGTTTGTTCAACGGAGATCTTTGGCCAACAGCTATCTCCGTACGCGAGCAAGACAAAAGACTCGTGGTGACATTTAAGACTAAAACAAAGTTTCGAGGAACGTATTTGATCAAAAACCCAAGTAAGTTTACAAAACTTCCTTATCTTTAACATGTTTTAGAATACAGTCGAACCTCTCCACAACGGCCACCTTGGGGACAGATAAAAGTGGCCGTTCTAGAGAGCTGGTCGTTATGGGGAGGTAGGGGTGTAACATGACGCCTGATTTTTTCGGGGGTGCAACATTTCTTTTCTTAAAAAATTGCTTATTTTAGGATATAAACTGAACTTAAATCAAAATATATTAATAACACAGAAACTAAACAGAAGCAGAGACCAGCGTCGCGCAGTACGGATTACGATCTCGTGACCTTTTACAATAAGAAATGGGGTTTTGTGTACATCGTTCGCCAGTCAATGATTGACTAGCGGTTGTCGAGAGGTTAATTTGGCAGTTTGGACGCGTTTTAGTGGCCGCTGCCGTTGTGGAGAGGTAGCCGTTAGTGGAAGTGCGACTGTAGTTTAAAGCTCCATTACACAAATCCGTTTAAAATGTTCACAACCGACCGTGCATGTTTGTTTTTCTAGACACCCAAGCAATGGCAGTGGTGATGTCACGTGACCGTCCACACCTGAGTTTCGCTTTGAGCCTGGTATCTAGTGAACAAACGTTTGACTACCCCCAGCAGACTTGGCGATTTCAATCCCAGTATGCATTGCGAGATTATACGGGTGTTTATTTTATCAAGCTGATACCTTGTTCAACGGATTCAGTAAGTTTTAAAGTAGACTATTTAGTTTGAGAATTAATTGAAATTCCTTGATATCCTAGACTCATAGAGGTGAGTTCTCACGAGTAATAGACATCTTATTTCTCCCAAAAAACCTTTGCATTCCAAAGAAGACAAGTGATAAGAATGAAGTGCTTGGATCTGGAAAAATTAGTAGTAATTGCTGGTTTTCATTGTCACGCAATTCAAAATAGATCAAAATCAAAATCAAAACCGACCAATAGATAAAGTCCAGAATCTGGGAAATGAAAGAAGGTAAATATGCAAAGACTCTCGCCAAAATTCTGGTCACAGCAATTTTTCTTGTGCGAGATAT